AATAGGTCTCCTATCACAAATGTGTGACCCTAGAATGCTGTTACCAGTCATAAATTCAAGCCGGTTGTCAAACGCCCCAATTGCAGTCATGTGATTGGGGGGGGAGATGTGAAGCCATGAGTGTGAGGTAAGTCATAAGTCACTTTTTTCCGAAGCCAGCATAGCTTAGAATCATTGTTAAATGAACAGTTTACAATTTGAAGTCTCAACATTTTAAATTGTGAAGAACAGTAGTGTAAAGCAGTTGTCGTAGCCAGTGCTATGGCCAGCCTTGCAGGCAGAATACGGTAGCTTTTGGATGCTTTATGGCAGTGTTTCCCAAACTTGACAATTTTAAGGCATGAGGACTTCAACTCCCAGAATTCCACAGCCAGCAACGCTGGCTGTGGAATTCTGGGAGTTGAAGTCCACATGCCTTAAAATTGTCAAGTTTGGGAAACACTGCTTTATGGTACCGTAGTTACACAATTGCCAGTTTTTGGTTTGGCTAGTGTCAGCATGAAAATAGGTTTCTGCAATGAGACTCTGCACAGTCAGCATTAACAGTCGTTCTTGGATTTCATTTATACTATTTGTACAATCTTAAGGACTACTTTTGACTTTTCCCATACAATAGCTCATATCTGCCCAGGTTTTGTCCTCATGGCAAATATATTCATTTAAATAAAGGAAGATTTTGGCTTACTGTTTATATCGCCATACTCTATTTCATAACCCTCTCTATGTTGACTTTAGCTTTAAAAATCTGATAAAACCTGAGAAATGGCATATTCTGGCTCCCATCTATAAAATAATGGCACTTTTGGGAACTGAAAGTAGACATAGCTCCTGCCCTCTTGATTGGCATTCCTCCAGAGCAATAGTTCTTAAACTGGAGTAATCTGGGCATATCCTGGGGTTAATGGATCAATTTGTTTGTTTGAGAGACTGCAGTTTGGGACTGCCATTGCCAAGATCCTTATATAAAGCAACACAGTCTGGGATTTTTTTTTTTTTGAGGAGGGGGGGGATGACATTAATCATGATAGGAAAAAAGGTCACCGAGACCAACAGTTTAAAGAACCTCTTCTCCAGATGTTTGAGCAGTCCTGTCTCTGCTTTCTTTCAAGCAAGCTCTGAAAATTTAGCTTGAACCAGAGTGTGGTGTGTCTCCACTAAGGGATTGATTTTGCATGCAATGTTAGCACTATGGCTATTCCTCTGGTTATGACCATCTTTTTGTGTGTGTGGGGGGGGGAAGGTAGTGTGGTTGCCTTGAATGTGATTGTTTTTAACTTTGTATAGCATCCAGGATCAGTGAGATTTGGATGGCCCTAGAAATCTCAATTAGACATTTTAAAAAATTATAACAACTTAGGCAGCCGCCCTTAACTGTAGTTCCCTCAAGATCATGCCCCCTGCCATTCCATAGCAAATTTCCAACCATGGTCACCATTCCTAGTGGAAAAACAAAGCAAATTTCAGAACGGCAAAAGCATTTTAAACAGCTTGTAAACTTCCTTAAAATTTCCAGGCTAAGATTAAAAATAACGAGAGAAAAGCCCTTAGCTTTATAGACAACGTAGGATCTCCTAAATGTATATTCAGCTACTGAATATAACAAGGCAAAAGGGGGGAGGGGGAAGTCTTGATTCCTAATTAAATAATTAATATTCTATATCGTCTTTTCCCTTAAATGTAGAGAGGAAGACTGGCAATAGGGAATCTAAAGGGCTTCTCTCAATAGGAAGTTCTTGTAGGAGATAATCAAACTGAGACCGAGGGAGGGGTCGAACGCATCGTAAGTCACAATTCCCTGCTCGCCCACAAGAGATCTAAGTCTAGCCCAACTTGAATGCCTCTCTTATTTTCCACTCATTTCCTTTGACTGCTAGTTCACCAGATTCTTGTAGAGAGCTTAAGCTTGCAACAAACCTTTATACTCATTTGAACTGTCTAAATCTCCTGACTTTCCTGGCGCTTGACATTAATCTGACCAACTCATGGTCAAGGGAAATGCGCGGGAGATAAGAGAGGCATTCAAGATAGGCTGGACTTAGATCTCATGACTTATAAGAGCCGAGGTGGCACAGCAATTAGAGTGCAGTACTGCAGGCCACTTTAGCTGACTGTGTTCAGCAGGTCAGCAGTTCAAATCTCACCGGCTCAAGGTTGACTCAGCCTTCCATCCTTCCGAGGTAGGTAAAATGAGGACCCAGATTGTTGGGGGCAATGTAAATATATATATACATTGCTTACTGGTGTACACCGCTTAGAGAGTGCTTGTGCTTAAAGCGGTATATAAGTCTCATAAATAAATAAATAAATAATGCTTTTGACCCCTCCCTTGGGTTCAGCCTGGTCATCTCCTAAAGTTCCACTATGATTCCCACAGTGATAATCATAGTGAGGACTATAGAATGTATATGGTTACAGCCAATTCAGATTTAATCCTGGATCTTGAAGACCATTCCTTTGAGCAACCCTGGGATCTGAACCGTCGTACGATTTCCAGTTGTCATCATCTCCCACCTCCTTATTCATGAAATGAGGAGGTGATTTGGAGCATTAGTAGGGCTGTAGCTTTGAATGAAGCCGTCATTTGATATTCTTGTACTGATATCTCTGTAAAATATGTTCTCTCTTGTTCTGCGTTGTAATGAATATTAAGTCTTTATACTGTAGTTAACGTGCTTTAAGGCTTGAGGTTTTTCTTCACATTCATTTTTCTGCTTGTTGGAGTAGCAGTTTTTAGAATTGTGAAAAGTAAAGCAATGTGTGATTGATAAAATAAAACAAAGAACGTTCTCTTGAAAATAAAATTCTTCCTGAGGCATAATTAATCTGTGAATATATAAGTAGGGGGTTGATTACAAAGTAATTAAAAGATCACCTTTAGTTTCCTCTTTCCAGCTGCTACCTATCTATTTCTGTCTCTGCAGGTTTTCCCTAGTTTACTATTCTCTTTCGCTAAACTAACTTATCCCAGCCATGTGTCATCTTTGCAAAGCAGGATAATTGTTCTTTTGAATCATAGATCTTGCTTGTTGTCTTCTATACAGATAACATGATTAAGATGTGCTGTATACTCTTGGATTTACTATTCATAAAGTTAAGCAGGAAGGAATAATGGGCACTTTCTTGTAATGAGCCAGGCCACAGCTTTAACTAAGTTAAATCTTGGCCACATTTTCTGACTGAGGCTTAATAATAATATTCCACATAGGAGTGTTTTCAGTGCTACATGGAGATGCTACAGAGTAAATCTAGTAGGGGCTTTGTATACAAAATAGGTGCTTGATTACTGAACAGCAAGCCTTTTCCATTTATTTGGAAATGTTCTAATTAGGAATACCAGGTTTATGAAATGTTTCTCATACACAGTTTGGACGAAGTTCTGTTTCTGAGCAAAAGGCAGCAGTGGCCAAATCTCCAATGAATAGGGGAGAAAAGAACAACAGAAGTTTAATTTGGTCTCTGTAGTATGGATGGGATTTCAAGCGTCATGTTGCTTCCTTTAACGACTCTCTCCTCCAGATGTGTTCAGGGACTGGTGGATCAATACTGAATTGAGTTCTTTGAGCGCTCTCCTGTTTGAAATAGCTTCAGGACCAGGATCCATTGTCGAATCACTGGATACAACTAGCTTTCTCTATTGGAGAAGGAGAAGAGATTGTGGTCGAGGTAGTCCTTGACTTACAATCACAATGGGGACTGGCATTGCCATCATAAATTTGCGGTCATAAAACGAGATGCCAAATGACTGTGAGAACTTACAATGGCAATTTGTGGTAATTGAGAATTGTGGCTTAAGCGAAAACCCATCCCGATCCAAACCATTCCGGGAGTAGTCTCTTCCAACCCCAGGCCTCAGTAAGGTAAGGGACTGCCTCCAACTCTCCCTACCTGATTATCTCTTCCCATCTCTGTCCCTTAGCTGCCCTGCCCTGTCCTGCACTCAGCTCCAGAATTACAGGTTGTCCTCAACTTACAACCATTCATTTAGTGACTGTTCAAAGGCACTGAAAAAGGTGACTTCCGACTGGTTCTCAAATTTATGACCTTTGCAGCATCCCCACGATCACGTGATCAAGAATCAGGCCCTTGGCAACTGGGACGAATATATGATGGTTAGACACATTCCATTACAGAGGCCAAAAAGGATATAGGAGGGCGGGGGAGAATAGGCCAGTGGGGAAATTGAAGCACCCCTTGGGTTGAGCTGCCAGGCGCTCCGATTTTCATCACATGATCACAGAGGCACTGCAGTTGCTGTAACTACAAGCACAGGCCATCAGTCATTTTTTTTGCTGCACCATCATAACTCTGAATAGTCACTAAAGAAGTGGTCGTAAATCGAGGACTACTTTTTGTATTTTAAATATTATAGCAACGGGAACTTCTGTTCGTTGTTGTAATTTTTAAAGTCTCTTTTGTTCCACAGATGTACATCTTGACCATTGCAGTTTACAACCACTTTCCAGAAGATGGCATTTTTGGATAGGTGACTGATAATAGCATTCAGGTTGAATCTCAGAGCTCGACCATGTATTGACAGAAATATATTTTTGATATAGCCAATGTGTGATGTAGTACAGAGGTCCCCAACCTTTCAGGGACCAAGGACCGGTTACACGGACAGAGGTTTTTCCATGGACCAGAGGGGGCGTGGTTTTGTGTGCTGCCTGCACCCCACAGAGGGAGCTTTGCTTGTTTGTGTGGACCGGTTGCTGGCATGCCAAGGACCGGTACTGGTCCTTGGACCGGGGGTTGGGGACCCCTGATGTAATAGTTGGAAGTTTGGACTTGTTTTCAAACTTCTTCCTGACTATGAGAATCATGGGGTGACTTTGGCCTACTCAATCAACTGTCAGCCAAACACATTTCACAGGATAAATATAAGAAAAGTAGGTCAGCTTCATTTACTGATCAGCAGGCTGGTCAGTAGTAGACCGATCAATTCTCATTCTGTATCTATGTTTTGTAGAAAGTTAAAAATCTTTTTCCTCTATCCAATACAGAAATACCAAGACATGGCAGAAAAAGCCAAAGACAAATTCTCTGCTATTGAAAAAGTCCAAGAGCAATTACTCCTTGAGAATTCACACCTTAAAGCCTTGTTGACGCAGACGCAGAAAGAACACAGATCTCTGCTAGCCGCTTGTGCGCTGCTCGCTGGAGCACTCTATCCCCTCTACGGTAGGTCCTGTGCCCTATCGACCCAGAGGGATGTTCTTCAGGATCAGGTCAACACCTGTGACATTTTCAAGCAAGAAATCAGAACACTGGCCAGTGCATTGTGTGAAACGGAAGAGAGGAAGCAAAGCAACAGCAAGTTGAAGAAGAAAAAGCATTCCAGAAGCTGGATACATCTTTTCCGCAAAAGTGTTATTGCAGTCCTGGCTGCCCACAGGCTTCAGATTTTAGGCCAATCATGCAACTCCCTTTTCTCCTGGGTAGATGATGTCAGAGAAGGCATAGGAATCCCTGTCTGCATTGGAGATTCCAAGGATGTGCACAATCTGTCAAGTAAGATAACAAACTAATTTTATATATTTTATGTCAAAGTACACTTTTAGCACTTAAATAAGCATCATATTAGGCAAAGGAGGAAGCCGAAGCTTCACAATTTGAAGAGAGAAATTATGTTTAAAATGTCAAAACTAAATTTACTAAGTTAATTAAAACAACTGAAGCCCCTGGCGTTGGTGTTAAATGTACTGGAATGTTCATTGCTGAACTGATAGTAAACTGGACCCGAATTAAATTGCATTTGGATGAGATCACGTGCTAAGTAAAAAAACAATTATTTATAAACAAGGATGCCTGTGTTCAAATATCACATTGAGATACAAAGAAGGAAATATTTTAATAGTAATTTTATTAAAAGTTACAAGGTGAACTAATAGGAACTAAAAATAATAAAAGAAAAAATAGGAAATGCAGAAAAGAAAAAATAATATAGTAAACAAAAAGAAAAAAATATATAACAGATTTTTCCCTTCATCACAAGTTTAATCAAATTTTAGTAACTTAATCACCTTCTCTTAAAAAATAACAAATGATTTCTTTTTCCTATATGCTATCTCTTATCTGTAAAAATATATATATATATATTTAAAGCTTCTTTGTTTCAGTCCTGATCATCAAACATATCATTTCCATATCATTCTTGTAACCTGTCATTTTTAAATCCAGTTTCAGTTCAATATTAATCTTGTCAAGTAAAATTTGTTCCTCTTTTGTAACTTTTCTAAAGCACAGTCTTTCTACAGAGGGAAGCATTCTTAAAATTAATTTGTGGGTACATTGTTCAAAAATGAACTTGTCTATTCATTCATTTTATTTCATGTGAAGCTTTACCTGTATCACAAAATCCATATTTACCATAGAGGTATTTGATAACTATCCTTTTAACTTCTGATTTCGTGTGGAAATTGTTTTTTACCTTTCTTTTAAATATATTAGAAATATTTTTTGTTCATTTTTCGGAATTGAAATAACTTCTTTTCCAAGAACAATATGAAAATTAAGAATCCAGAAAAGATTTTAATGTATATTTAAATTTATTATATTAAAATCAAAATTAAATGTGTCCAATTCTGATTTCATGCCAGGCTGCAATGAATTGTGTAAATAATAGGTGTCTGTTGCTATAGGATGAAACAGATTTCATTTTTTTTTCCCTCTCATTTTGTGATGCAGGACAACAAAAGGAGCAGATTCGTTGCCTTCAAGCATTCAGTTGGTTTACCAGTTGTGAACTTCTTACTGCAGTCCTTAGTTCTATGGCTGAGCTACAAGAAGTAATTAGCAAGGCAGGTAATGTCTGAGTTTCTACATTGGTCTTGTCTTGATCAATCAATTCCCTTTCTAAAAAAGAGACAAATTGTTGATAGCATAGACGACTGTTATCTAGAAGTAAGCAAACTGGTTATAATTATAGTTGGATGTTCTTATGAGCATTTTGAAGAAGCAGAATGGTCCAAATCAATGTAGAGTTTTATCAGTAGCTACAAGGAGAAGATTCGTCTGGCAAATCGACTCATAGTTTGGTTCCCCCTTTTTTATTAGGCTAGGATAAGTTTTCAGTTGTGACCGTTGTAATTTAAGAAAAGAGTTCTCAAACTGTCAGTTAGGATTCCCTGAGCAGTTTGGCAACTTAGAGTGAGACACGCATTTTTTTTTTTAATAAGGCTCTTGCAGGACGGATGGGAGCACTGCCAAAAGTTGCTTGGGCTCCGCTTAGCCCACTGCCTAAGCAAGCCAGCTGCAGACTTGCCTAAGCAACGTGGGGGTTCATTTTGACAGTGTCCCTGCTTTGTTGGCCCAGGTAAAGCAGGGAGGCTTTCAAAACTCACTTTAGGTTTTGCTCAAGCAACTGTGCAGTGGGTGAGGTATAGTATATAGTACCCCAATGTCTGAAAATCTTTGGCTTAAGCCATTATTTCAGAGTTCATTTACAGAGTCCTGCATTGACTTAAAGAGATTGTCAATAGTGTCTTTTCAGAGTTTTTTTTTTTTTTTTCAAAACTGGAAATGGAAAAATAAGGAGTTGCAAGAGAAGATGTGACTTCCTTTAGAAATACAGATGGTTTTAATAAAAAAGAAAAGCTGGATAGAAAAAAAGCATTGGTTTGTGGCTCTGCTCAACCTACTCCATGTAATAGTAGTGGTGATAAGTGCAGTGAGAATAAGTGATGCAAGAGTGTTCTGTGTTGTTGGCAGTTAACATCTGAACCCCTCTGGGCGTTACAATTGGCAACTTTTAGAGACCAATACAGCAATGGAACACATGACATCTTGGGCTCATCCACACATTCACATTATGCTTATGCTCCGTAAATGATTGTCTTATATACCCAAAACTTGAGGGAATTAAAAAGTAGATGAAAAATAGATACTGCATAAGCTAGCGAGTGTTAAAAAGTCCAGCAATAAAGGCCATAGTACACGATAAGTATTGGGCATCTAGCAACATCTCAAGAATGTCTTGTTTATGCCAAAGACTGATGTTTGCTGACTGGGGGCTGTGGCTCAGGGGCTGCTGATAAATATTCATATATATTATTCTGTGTGGGATTCTTTCTGTCCAGGTGGCCTGTTTATTCAGTTCACCCCTTGAAGCCATATTTTAGGTGACTATGATCTTACTGTTTAAGATATGTTGTATCTTGGCATGTCTGTGCAAGGTGACAAATATTTATCCTTTGCATCGGCTCTGTTTGGTTAGAATGCATTTCTTCAACAGCTTGGGGTGGGTTGGTGCTGGAGAGGATTGCAGTTTGTTCAAACGTAGTTTGGTCAAGCAAAGATGAATTCCATTGAGGGCTCCAGGTGGCACATCTTCAAAACCATCTTCAACGAGGCAAGGAACTTTATCTTAAGTTAATACGTACAACAAAAATCCATAATTTGAAGAAGACTGTAAGTAGTTTCATGCATCAAAGGGTATTTGGGGCTTGCTTTTAAATCTCAGCCAACTTTTGTTTGACCACAGCTTTTGGAAATGGAGAATGGTTTCAAACTAGTTAGATATGATGTTGAGATCTGCTGTTCAAAGACACATATAAACATACAATCCCACTGGACACGTGTGCAATGTCTAGAGTGCACGTAAAGTAGCTTTTTGGAACCAGGCCACGGAATTTATTCTTACATGAGGGCTATTTTTTTAACACTACACTCAAGTTTACACGGAAGCCAACGTTATGTCGGTTTGACAGAGCAGTTGCGAACATTTGCAGTTCTGAATTTCAAAGGTGGACAGTCTTTTCGGCATGAAACTATGAGGAAGGAATTTTATCCTCCTCCTTTGTGAAGAAGAAAAACGCCTGCCATTCTCCCACCACTGGAGTAATATTTGTCACTTTTCATTGGATTTTGCTTCACTTGCTCTATTTGTTTGTTGCTCTTTGTACTGTAACTGTTTGTATAAAACATTTCTCACACACTCATCATAGCATAAATTATTTAGTGCTTTTACTGTAATTCCTAGATATTTGTGGCCAGGTACTTAAAGTGTATATATTCTTTTCCCTCTGGTTATAGATACAGCAGAATACAGGACCTTCTGGAATTGTGTTGTATTTTCATTTCCCCTCTCAAAGCCGTGAATGATTCTAACCCATACATTTCTTTGTTTTAGTCAAAACCATTATTCATTAAAAATTCAGTTGAGGTGATGTTTTGCTTTTAGATGGCATGTGCTTTTCTATCTTAGATAAGTTTTCTTTTTTCTTTTTTTCCATGCCTCTTTTTTCCCCTCCAAATCTATCTGGCAAGCCTTAAATACAAGATTGTTATGGTATTAACTTGAAAATTATGTTTATCACAGGCTGAACTTCTAATTTTAAATGGAATGATACACTCAAGCACTATGATATTTCAATCTGTCCGACTCTAGCGTTTGACCAGATTACAATTTTATTTAAAACTCTCGCCAAAAGAAGATAAAAAATATTTAAAACATTATCACATTTTATTATTTAATTCAATCCATCTTCCAATCTCTGGTTCCATGCCATGGCCAGAAAAACTAAAAAATGTAGCTAACTGTTTTGACATTTCTAGTTGGTATTTAAGGTCAGCTTCCTGCATGTGGATCATACCTTACAGAATTCTAGAAGTTTCTAGAGTGTCTGAGGACCTTAAGCTTAGGCACTCAGAGAAGAACCCTACCTTGTCACCTAGGCCCCCATTTCTGAAAAGAATATGATTTTTTTAAGTCCAATTGGTAATGAAAGATGAATGATCCATAATTCAAAGAAGATTTCTCCAACAAGCAATGAATAAATGAATCCATCCATCCTTCTGAGTAAGCCAGCCAGCATACTTTGGGTCTTTGCCAAGGTGACATGTAATTAGAAGAGATTATTTTATACAAACAAGTTTTGTACATACTAAGATTTAAAAATGAATGCTGCTCTTATTGTTTCATAGGAAAAAAAATTGATTCGGCAGCACCTACTTTATTTAGATGTTACCAGATCTGTTTCCATCTGGTAACAGATGGTAAGAATTTTCTGGGAGTCTTATTTGTATTTCATTTTACCTAGAAAATGGAAACCTCTTCATTTTTATTCTTTAGCAGTGTGTGTATATGAGAGTATATGCCTGCTGGCTTACTCTGAAAATATGCCTTCAGAGGCTTTCTACTTTAAACTTTAGAACAAATATTTTAATTCTCTACAGCAACAGGAGATCTGGTATTCTCCTGAATGAATTTAAGCTCTGCCATGGTTGTCATCTTACCCTGATAATATCACAAGACAAGTAATGACAGATTAAGACCTGACTTGCAGAGGGGAAACTAAATTACAAGACTTTTATTAAGGCATAAATAAACCTATTAACCATTATCTAGAATACCAATTAGTAGAAGGAGCACTGACAATTTTATTTATCAACATTAAACACAATTATTAATTACAGACCTGACGAATCTACCAGTAAGCAGAACATGTTGGGTGTGCTGGAGGCTTAAGCCCATTATATGAGAAGGCTGATTACCAGAATCCTATGGGGAAATAAGTAATTGTAGTTGTAAAATTTTAATTGCCTTGGAATAAGGTAAATTATATTCTCTTGTCTTAGAATATAAATAGTATGGCATTAAGGTACAAGCCTCAGTAGTTTTAAGCAGCACATGATTTAGACATCCAAGCTATAAGGAAAGAAAAAGAAACAGTCATATTTGTAGCAGTTACTTACCTTCTGTTTTGAATTAGTAAATTCATTGATTCTGATAAGCAGTTTTGAGTCTGCTTCTCCGGCAAGTCTTAAGTGTCATATTTGTTACCTTTGGATTAATGAAAGAACAAAAATGCTGCAGGGTTGCAAAAGAGTATACAATTGTTTCAACCAACCCATTGTTTCTCTTGAACCAATGTCTATTACTGAATGTGGAGGTGCAATTTAAATGGTTGTTAATAGGAATATAATATCTCTATCTGCAAAGCTGGACAAAAAATAAAATCTTTTCACCAACAGCAGCATTATGTTGTTGCAGATTGCTACGGGTCAAGGTGACATAGCTCCCAAGTGACACGAACTTCCTATTCCAAGAATATTTCTATCACACCTTTTAAGAAGCTCATCTAGAAAGTTACATTAGGCCTTTTCTAAAATTCAAATGCTTTCATGAAAAATATTCTGCAGAGAGGGCCTGATTTTGATTGTAGACTTAATTGCTTGAAACCTCTTCACTAAAAGAGGTTTTGAGAAGTCAGCTATGGGATAAGCAATCCTGCTTTTCACCCTTCAGTTCAGTAGACCTTAATAAGCTTTCAGTGAAATTGCTTAGAATGGGAGTTTTAAGAAAGCTCTACCCTGTGTAGGAACTTGTCATCAATTATTACCTCCAACCCCCCCCCTTTTTTTTTTTTTAAATGCATCCACAGATACAAACCAACTCTATTCACAGACTGATTCTTTTTCTTTCAAAGATATGAAATCCTGGCTTTCAGGACACTTGCTCACCAACGCAGCAAGGAATTCATTTTCAAAACTTATGGAGAAACTTTGCACCGTGATGGAAGTTACTCCAGTGGACAGCAGCCGGAGTATGACTTATGCAGAGAAAGACTCCTTGGTTCAAAGACTGGCTCGTGGACTCCATAAAATAAACGCACAGACCCTCGAAGCACGCATAACTGACAGGACCCCTGCTACGGTTGGTATGGGCACGATCAGTTACATTCTAGAAGCTTTTCCATTGTTTCGGATTTCAAAATGTTAATCCTTGACTGCTCAGCTCTCCAAAGGAAAATTGAGGAGGTGCGAGAAAAGAGGCAATATTTTTCAGGCTTTCCCACAATGTGATATTATTTCAGTAATTCTTCCCCAAAACCTTTTAGCATCCTTTCTGCCATTTGCCGCTCAAGGCAACGTGCAGTGTTCTTTTAAAATACCGCTGTAAGGTAATGGATGATTTTAATTTAAAAAACCCTGTGATTACCCACTGCATATTTGGGATACATGCTGTTACCAAAGACATTTTCCAAAAATACAGTAACTGCTCCTCTTGCTAATTTTCATTTTCAGAAAATACCTTCTCTCTCTCTCTCTCTCTCTCTCTCTCTCTCTCTCTCTCTCTCTGTGTGTGTGTGTGTGTGTGTGTGTGTGTGTGTGTGTGTGCATGTATGTATGTATGTATGTATATATAGTTGCTTTGAGAATACTTTACACTTATGGGTGAATTTAGAAAAGGGAGGGCTTCGTCTTAATTTGCTCAGGTATTTGAGGCTATTGATTTATTGCCCAACCAGCATATTTACTAGCTAACACATTATTCCTGTTTTTTAATACCAGAAAACCATAGCATCCTTGCAGAAGCAGATATTTGAATTTACACAAAGGCTGCACACAGCAGAGGTAGAACGGCGGTCATTGCGGTTGGAGCTCACAGAATTCAAACGGAATTTGAATGAGATGAAGAAAGAGGCTGACAAAGCCCATAGTTTGCAAGAGCAATTATATGTGTTTAAGCAATCTGTAAGTCTATTTGATTAGAAGGAGGGAGGGACTAATCAGCTTTAAAGAAGGGAATTCTATTTAGAGTTCTTTAAAAATCCAGTGAAGAACTTCTGGATTCTTAGGTGGGATTCTTCTTTCTTTCTTCTCCTAACACATGCACAAACCCCTCCCGGTGTCTTATTAAATTCTCAATTGTGAGTCAGGTATATTAAAAGAAAAGGCCAAAGACAGTCCTGGTACAATTAGTCCTTTACGTTGCAGAATAAGGTAGATTGAGTCAATAATCTATTCGGAAAAGCTGCATTTTTGGTCAGTTAAATTAGGCTGTTTGTGCTGTGGGAACTGGAATTTGAAAACTCAAATGGACAACATAACTCAGTATGTTTCGATATACATTCTACTTGTATTGCATGCTGTGTTTTGCAAACAGTTGGCAAAATTGTTGAACAAACCAATAATTCTGTACATGCTGTACATTTCTGCCAGGTCCACATCAGACTGAACAGATGATCTAACGGATTATTATCTGACAGCAGAACAGGAGGCAGTTTATTTGCAGATGAACAGTATTTGCTACTATTTCATGTGACTGGAGATGGTCACCATTCACGAAGGCCCGCATGTTGGATTTCTGAAGGGTTTTCCTTTACATGTCAACATTGTTTGCATCCAGGACCTCTGTAAAGGCCACATGTCTTCTAGAAATAGTCTGAATTTCTGGGAAAGGAAGAATTATTTTGACAACACTAAAAAGTGATAGAGTATGTATGGAATAGCCTCCGAATAGCCCTACCTTGACTTTAAACACAGCCATAAAAAGGAGCAGTGATGGTCCTTAAAAAGGGGCAAGTTTTCCAGATTAGATTAATAAAGGGAGTAAATAAGGTAGCGCTCCTGTAATTCCTACTTGTCTGGTCCTTGATGTAGACTATCTTGAAAGGCTGACAGTAATGTGGTTTGCTTGGGATTTTTCCATTCCTTTTTATCTGCAGTTGGTACAAAGAAAAACACCTCTCCCAGCAGAAGATGGAGATAGGAAAGTTCCATTTTATAAAATAAGAGTCCCGGTAAAACCATAGTTTGATCTCCAACTGTATTGGGTAGAGAGACAACGTTTTAGCTTTTTATTTCTTTCATTTTGCCTTGCAATATGAAAATTGACAAGAGTGGCTAAATAAGGACTAAAGTTGTATAGACTGGTGGCCAGTTTTTCCAATACATTTTAGGCAGTGCGAAATAAGACATTAGGTGAAGTCCGGCTGGCTCTGTAGTTAAATACATAGAGCAATATGGAAATTCTAATTCAGATTAACTCCTTTTGTAGAATAATAATAATAATAATAATAATAATAATAATAATAATAATAATAATAATAAGATATATAACATCTTTCTTGGGCTAATTTGAAAGAAAAGCTTTCTTGATGTCTGCACTTCTGCTTCAGCTTTTTGAGGAAATCTTGCAAATAAAAATCACCTGGCATTGACATTGTCTAATGGCCCTGACTTGGAGAGGAGAGCCTCTAGGGCAAATATATTGAGCGTTTTAAAACTTTTACATTAGAATGTTGCATATTGGCAAGTGGGGTACTGAAAATCAAGTGTATAAACAATGCTGCTGCTTCATGACAGAACACAATTTATTTCCTTTATCAGAAATTGATCACCCACGAGAGGTTTGAAAGTGCATGTGAAGAACTAAATAATGCATTACTCCGGGAGCAGCAGGCACAAATGCTTTTGAAGGAACAGGCGCAGCAGCTCCAGGAGTTGCAATTTAAACTGGAATTGCATTCTTCGGAAGAGGCAGACAAAAACCAAACTCTCAGTGACGCTGTAAAGGTAGGATGGTGTTTCTTCAAAACTAAACCATAAAATAAGAATTAAAAAAAAAAAAAATCCAATGTTCACCTGAAAGCAATGTTTAGGTTTTCAGGACCACAGAAGTGATATAAAGTGATATGGCTACTGAGGTAAACAGAGAGTTGAAGTAGAAAACCCACTTGGATAGAAAGAGCAAAACAATCCATGTTGGGAGGGTGGAAGGCAACTTCTTTCTTAAAATTAAATAAAGTATCAAAATTGAGCCTGGGTTTGTTGTCGAGAAAGCAAGAGGAAGGAGGTCCTGTCCATTCCCCCTGGCCCCAGCATGTTGAATTTAAAATGCATTTAGTAATTTATTTCAGCCTCCTGACATCTTTCAAAGAATTAGTCTGGACAGAGGGGAAGTTGTTCATAACCAGAGAGGAGAGGAGAAAGCTCATATTTTTGTGGTCAGCTCCTGATCCCTAAGCCATGGTTATTTTCCTTTGTTCTGCAGAAGGCCAAGGATGCAGTTAATTGGCCAGTTGCTCTACAAATTTACAGTATTTATTACATATGCATGTTTCCCTCTGGGGAACTGTGCAAGCTATGTAATCAGTGCATATTCATATATAGCTCTGCTGTTCTACTTACTACTTCCTGAAAAAGGAGATGTAATGGATTTTCCTTTAGAGGTGGGGGCCTCTAAAGGTGGTTTTATTGCTGCGGCTCTTTCTCTTATCAAGAAGGAAAAGGGAAAGGAAATATGGTTACCTGTATTGCTCAAACAGCTCAATATTACAAGATACAGGTGGTCTACCACTTAACGACCAGGACTGAGCCAAAAATTTCTGTTGTTAAGTGAGACCTTTGTTGAGTGTGATTTGCCCCATTTTACGACTTTTCTTGCCACATTTGTTAAGTCAGTCCTTGCAGTTGTTAAATTAGTCACGCTGTTGTTAAGTGAATCTGGCTTCCCCATTGACTTTGCTTGTAAGAAGGGGATGACAAAAGGGGATCACATGACCCCGGGACACTGCAACCGTCATAAATATGAACCAGTTGTAAAGCACCCAAATACAAATCACATGACCCTGGGGATGCTGCAACATCATAAGGGTGAAAAAATGGTCATAAGTCCTTTTTTCGGTGCTGTTGCAATTTTGAACGGTCACTAAATGAACTGTTTTAAGTTGAGGACTACCTGTAGTTTCATTTCAGGAGTGCCAACATCTCGCTAGTTTTTTTTTTTTTTTTATTAAAGAGTTTTATAAATTTTACAAAAAATAAGAAACAATACAAAAACAAAAAACAACATATACAAATAAAAAACAAACATTACCCAACAAAACCCCCCTTCCCCCACCCCTACCCAAACCCCCCCTTCCCCCCCCAGGACCTCCCAGAGCAGAATATAGGCTTAATTAAAGAAAAAGTTAAAAAAATTATAAAAAAAAGAATATAAAATAGAATATATATATATATATATATATATAGTTAAAAATTATGAAAAAACTATATAATATTTTTTATATCAAATTTAAATTGTATGAATTTTATCCATTTATCCCAAACAGCAAGAAATTTCTCTTGCGTTTGTCCCTTTAAGAAAGCCGAAATCTTTGCCATTTCCGCCAAATGAGACACTTTAAGAAACCATTCCTGCAATGTAGGCAAAGATTCCTTCTTCCAATATTGTCCTACTAACAGCCTCGCAGCTGTTATCAAGTTTAACATCAATATAACCTCCTTTGTGTCACAATCAGTAACTATACCTAACAAAAATAATTGTGGAGTAAATTTTACCCTCCTTTTAAAAATTCTCTGGATATTCCACCATATCTTAATCCAGAATGCTTTTATCTCTCTGCACGACCACCAAATATGATAATAAGTAGCATCCATACAACCACAACATCTCGGTAGTTTTGTAATGTCATCGCAAGACTTCTGCTTGGAAATAAAACTGATGTCTACAGTTTCCTGATAAAAGTGGGAACACCCCCATACACACACACACACACACACACAATCTTTGAATGGTCACACTAAAGTAGGTGAGACAGAACCAAGAAGTAGATGAGGCTGTGAGAAAAATGAAATGCCGTTTATCAAAATAAGTTTAAGGGTGAGGGATAAAACAGATTTGATTAAATTAAATTTGAATCAAAGTTAAACTAATTAGATACAGTTAATGAAGTTAATCTCTTAATAATTTGATACTTTCCCCCTTCTGTTAGTTTGTCCTGATTACCATTCCAAGTTTCAACGGGATATCAAACATTGATGCACCTGGGCCTTTCACCAGAGGAGATTAATCGAGCTTGGATATTAAAATTAGTGTTTCAGGAATATAAACAATTTAAAAAAAAATTCTCAGTATAACCAGGATCAGGGAATAGCACATCAAAGATTATAGCAGTGGGTTCTCAACCTTTTCTTCACCACGGACCCCCTTTAAATACCTTTTGTGGCCACAGATCATGGCCATGGACCACCAAAATTTAACTCAAGATTTAAACCATAACATTTCTTCAAGGCTTTGCAGACTCCTCTGATATCATCACAGCAAGGGTCCACAGACCACAGGTTGAGAACCACTGGATTACAACAATTCTTTTAGTGATCGTTCAAAGTTACAACGGCACTGAAAAAAGTGACCTATGACCATTTTTCACACAACCATTGCAGCATCTCCCCATGGTCAATTGATCAAAATTCGGATTCTTGGAAACCGACTCATATTTATGATGGTTGCAATATCCTGAGACATGAGATCACCTTTGTGGCCTTCTGACAAACAGAATCAATGGGGAAGCCAGATTTAACTTAACAGCTGTCTTCCTAACTTAATATCTGCAGTGATTCACGTAACAATTGTGGCAAGAAAGCTCATAAAAAGGGGCAAAACTCAATTAAAAATGCCTTAGCAAACTTAGCAACAGAGATGTTGGGCTCAGTTGTAATCATATAGTATTTTTCTACGTAAAGCAGAATGTAAATAAATAAAGAATAATTAGAAATAACATTCAAACTTAGCCAGTTTTTTTTAGAAAAACAAAATGAATAGTAAGATTCTTCACAAAGATGACAATAATTATAGAAGCACATAACCCAACTGATGTATAAAATGTACGGATTCATAAAACAATGTTTACAGGAAAAAATAAAACCTGTGTATTTATTCATTGAGTGTGAAAACCTGTAGTTTTTAAGAATCTTTAATATTAATGATTATAAAGGCATCAAAGAATAAAGTTGATAATTATATACTATATACTTTGGTTTGGAAGATACCGGTATATAACATGTACTACTATGTAGACAATATACATTATTCTGTTATTTTCATCCAGTAAGTTTAAAAACTCTGTTGATTAATTTTGCAGCTTTATCGGTTTTAATTATAATCCCATATTTTTTTATCTACCCAATGGTATATCCCATAGAGACAGGCATGCTTGCCAATTATGTTTCAAGGTCAGTCAGAGCTAAGCATAGCTCTTAGATTATTTCTTATAATCTAAGGCAAGAAAAGATAGTAGCCTAGCTTTCTCACTTTGCAACAAAAATTTATGCTTACAAGAGCAAGAATATATACTGTTTTGCACAATAAAACTATCTGGTAATTTCAAACAATAAAACATACTGCTTGAAACATTTTCTACGTCCACAAATACTAGAAACACCTAAGGTTTTTTGCTGGTTTTTTTAAAATGTGGTCCTTCATCTTCTCTAAAACGTATAGCTGAAAATATTTCATGAGAGAATTTTTGGTAAGTTATATATATATCGCTCTTAAGCATATATCACCCATGCAGACACTTGAGGCACATAGTCATAAAAATAGCAGGCGCATACATCACTATTGCAAATCAAACAGCAAATAGCAACATTCAAAGTCAGAAGCAGCCCAACCAGAACAAATCATGATAAGAGAACTGACAAGTTACTAACCCAATGAAAAGTATCCTGAAATGACAGTATCTTCACTTCCATTAAGTCAACTTGCTGGATATTTAGGGACAAAGAATTCTACAAAGGCTGTTGAAACAATCTTTGGTATGGTGGATAGTCCTCAACTTACCACTGTTCACTTAATGATCGTTTGAATGAAGTGCCTGTAAAGCATTTCTGACTATCACAAAAGTTGCCTCCATGGAAAGTTACAAGCTGCTGAAAGTTGCATGCCTGCTGAAAAACTCATTTTTCTTTCTTGGGGATGGTCTAAAGAGCTCCCTGCTAAAGGATCTCTGTACCTGGTTGCATGGAGCTGAAATCCTTGATGTCTGCCTGCACAGAGCTGAAATCCTTGGCAGGTCACTTTTGTCTCTGAGGGCTAGCTGAAAGAGCTCCCTGCTGAAGGATTTCAGCTCTGTGCAAGTAGGCAGAAAGGATTTCAGCTCTGCAAGCAAGCACAGAGCTGAAATCCTTCAGCAGGGCGCTCTTTCAGCCAGGGTCCAGAGACGATAGGGAGCTGAAAGAACTTTTAGCCCCAGAGTGGATAGGCAGTGCAGTAAGAACTGCAGGGTACCTTAGGATGGGGGAAGCTTGGTGTAGATGACATATGAGCCTCACCCCACTTGGGTTGGAAAAAAAAACTCTGAATCACCTTTCCAGGTGGAGTCCATTTGTCTCTCCAAGAATACCCAGTCAATATAAACAATTGTATTGTCTAGATCAGGGCTGTCAAACTGCCGGCCCATGGGCCGGTTTCATCATACCGGAGCCGCACCCACCCCATTGCCAGCAATGGCGAAAAAGCTCTGATACATCACACGACGTCGCGAGTTTGACATGCCTGGTCTAAATGCTTCCAGGGAGTGCCAGGTTGGGAAAATGGTTTCTACCCATCACACTTAGAACTTGTACTTTACATCATAATCTACAGGATCACCTGCTCCATTACAATCTAGAAGAGGAGTGACAAGGCAGTATTAAATTGCAACTCCCACCATCTTCAGTGTCATCTCTGACAAACCCCAATACTAACATTCATTTTATTATAAGGTTACATTAACAGACTCTTGCGAGTCTGA